CCCGACGTGGGAAGGAGAAACCAGATGGTGATGATTATTACAGGGCGCCGAGAAGTTTCTCTCCTGGGTGTGGAAACCTGGGGGACAGGTGCGGAGGGGAGTTGGGAGGTTGGGGGGCTCCCCACGGGGACCCAGTGTGAGAGGCCAACCACTGTCTTCTCGCTCGCCCGAGAAGGAGGGCCCCCCACACACAGCCCGCCTTCCGAGGGCAGAGGTGAGGCTGCGACCATCTCGTCCGGCTTTGTGCTCAGAGCAAAGCTTGGAAACTTCGTGCCTGGCCGCCTGCATGGCTGTGGGGGCTGGGGGCAGTGGGAATCTGTTTTCTCTCCAAGTCTCGCTCCTCCACCCCCCTTCCTGCTTACTGAAGGGGAAACCTTAAATGCTGAAGTTTGCAAATGAGGGGAGACGTCCTAACACAGGAATCACACCCACACGTCCATACCATACCTTGAGGGCTCGGCCGGCCGTGGTCCTCGGGACGCTTCCCAAAGGCCGATTCCCAATAAGCCTCTCCCAGCCGAGCCCTGACGGCGGAACCCACGGCTCAGGCGAAGGACTGGGCGAAGAGGGAAGGAGTCTTCCCCGGAAGTGCAAGTTATCAGTCCCTTTGGACCTTTCCAGGACTGCTCCTTTGCAAACACTTCAAGAGACACACACGGTCCATAACCAGATGCCCGCAGCCGGCAGGGAGAACTGAGGCAGGGGTGGGGAGCGAAGGGCAGGCAGGGGGCAGAGAAGGCAAGGGACAAGTGCTAGGCAAGCGGATTAGGCTACATTTCCTCCCATTACCAGACTTCCAGGAGGAGAGACCTCGATTTGTGCATAAAATGCACACCCTGAAGTGGATGAGACTGAGAGCTGCATTTGAGGAGGTTAACCTTGACTGGTTGGAGTTTGGGGGGGGGGGAGGCAAATATTTCTGTTTGTGCCCTCCGGCTCTTCCCAGCACCGGCTGTCAATCCCGACGCTTGTTATCCTCACAAGGCTTCAGTTTGTTTGCCTGATCTCAGCAAGGTTTTCTTCCACAAGTAGAACTATAATTGCTATAATTCTACTGTATCATTTGGATCATTGCAGTATTGTTGTTTTCTCTCCCTCTTTCTCTCCTCCTAACACTGCAATAACGCGCTCCAGTGTTAAATTAGCAGGTTGCGGAAGACCATAAATGAATGAAAGTTTGTTAAAAAAAAAGAAATTAAATAAATAAAACAGCAAAATGACTTGGCAAAGGGGATATCACATCACAGAGAATCCTCGCGTGTAATCAGGACTTATTGTCTTCCTTTCCAATGGCTTCCAAATTGGTCGCCAGACTCCAATGAAGTTTATTTCTATTGTTTAAATATATGTTTTGAAGAGGTTGACCATAATTTAAGGGGACCTGAGTGGTCCGGTGCGACTGGAAGCCCATTACAGCTTTATTTATCTGTGTGTATATTGCACAATAAATTAAAACATCTCAAATGAAAAGTGTGCAAGGTTAACTCTCCTCCAAACATTTTCCCCCCTGGATAATGACATCTAACTGCCACCCCCTTATCCCACATTTCTTGCAAATATAATTTTGAAGCTACAATGTAGAATTAGCTCTCACCACAGAAAAGAAAGGGGTTTCTTCCATTCGCCTCTTCTAGGTAATTATTATTTCCAGCCCTGGGGACAAGCCTCATTTTTTACTAAAAGCAACAGTTTTAAACACTTCTGACCCCCACTCCCGACCATAATTGTCATTTTTATTTTAGTGATTGATTGGGAAACAGATGAACTGCAAACTGTTGTTTTCTGGGTCCCCAGGAAAAGAAAACCAACAGTTGCAGACCTCAAAGATTAGAGGAGCCAGGAGTTGTGAACAGCAAAGTATAATCCAGAATAGTATTATCACTAAGATGAAATGACTTTTGATTGGTGGGAAAAAGAAAGTGAAGAAAGTAAGGTGAATGAGAGTGAAATGTCATTTTGCACACAGGGTAAATATTAAGTTGGCTAAACTAAAAGTTCTTTCACACATTGTCCTAATTCTTAAAAGCCTACTCAACAAATCAAATTCTTCCTAGATGCCAGAGATATCGTTTTGTTTTCTAAAATAACATGTAGGGTAACACATGTATCTTAAACCCATATTCTAAGTAGGTACTATGGCGATGCCAGAAGAGTCTGTCTCTCCATGGGTAGGTCAGACAAGTTCTCTTTTCTTACTTTAGTCTTTTGGGAATAGCAAGTCAACGGTTGATTTTGAAGTTGGGTACTGAATGGTGACAAAGACCATTTCAGGGCTGCTGGGTGTAAAGTGAGCAGGGCCAGGCTCAGCTTCCCAAAGTGAATGGACCTCCCTTCCCAATGGCCGGTGTACTTGGGAAGATGGATTAGAAATACCAAGAATAAACAAGATAAAATAACAAACAGAGCTAGTGTTTTCATCCAGGTTTTCCAAAGAAACACTTTATATTCCATTAATAGAATTAGCTTTAATTCCAGGGGTCATTAAGTCAGAATCAGAAATTCTATGTTAACATCCCCTTTTACAGTGGATGATTAAAATTAGAATACACCCCAGCAGAAAGTCCGACTTCTTTTTTAAAAAGGAGAACAGCTGCAGAAGGGGGAGGAGGGGGCCGGAGGCAAAGAAATCTTCTCCGAGAGAGTTGAAACCCCGTTAGGCTCTCAGAAATGATTTGTGCATTTGCGATTCTTTTTGTTTAACACGATCTTTTTTGGACTCGTTTTCAGCCCACTCTCTGCGTGTGCGGAGCCGACTTTGAAATCACGGAGCCACCAGGCAGCCGGGTCTTGTGGATTTCCGACGCGGGGCCCTCCCGGGAGGGAAAAATGCCTGTGTCTCTCCCAGCAACCAGCCGGAGGGACGCGGGCGAGGATCCGTGGCTGGAGAGCCGGAGGAGACCCGCACGTCTTTACGTCTTTTGCTGCGTGGAGACCCGCACGCGGGGAGTGGGCTCTCCGGACCAGACAGGGAAGGGGACAGGGAAAAAGCGCTCAGAACATTAGTTTGAAGCTGAACGGGACAATAAAAAGCACCGAACTCTTGGTGAGAATGGCAAAGGAGAATGTGGGAAAGACAAGGAAAAGATCCCAGGTGCTTTGGAACAGCAGAGAGGGCTTACAAAAGAGTCTGCCCTCACCTCCTTCATCCAAGTACAGCAATAACGGGTGAGAAGCAAAGTAAAGACCAGACACAGATAAGGAGAGAGCCACAGAGGGGAGAGACAGAGCGGGAGACAGCCTTTTGCCCTTCCTCTTGCCTTTACTTGTAGTAGTATCAGCATTAGTATTAACCATATTAATGTGCCCATTTCCAAACTTCAACCCCCTCAAGTTGTGCCTTAAATGTTCCTGCCAATCCAGCCCGATCTGTCATGCCACCCACCCACCAGCATCCAAGAGATTATGCAGATGTTTATGGCTGGAAAAATATCCCAGTTATGCACCCTTGTATTTTTAAATACTGACTGTAAGTGATTCAAGTATAATCCTTTGTAAAACGCTTTTCTCTTTGACAAATTGAAGGGTTTGAGACAGGAAAACCCGGCGTGGATTCCCCCTCCCGACCCCTCGCCCACTCATCGCCCAGGCCCCTACCCGCCAGCGTCCGGGCCCCTGGCTGTCCCTTGGGCCCTGCACCAAGCGAGGAGGGGGTGGGCGCCAGCCTCTCGTGGGCGCCCGGCCCAGCCTCCATTCCATGGGGTCTCTGATCTCAGCACTGGACGGGGCGGGAAGCAATTTAGGAAGAAATGCACTCTCCCCCCAGCTCGCGCTCCCGCTTTGCTAAAGGCAGCCAGGTCGTGAGAATTCAGAAATTGGGACGCTTTTTGTGGTTGGAAGTTGGGGTTGAAGTTGAACTTGGGTCGTCTCACCTGGCGCGCAGGTTCCTCTCCCCCACTCCGCCACCCCCACCCCTCCTCCAACTTCAGGGTCCTCTCCCGGGGCGCGATTTGAGGGTTCCCAGCTCTGAGGTGATGGCCTAACTGAGATGAAGTTGTGGGGAGAAGAGGGAACCTGGTCAGGGAGAAGAGACGCCCAGACCGGTGCCCAGCTCCCCTGCTCCCGGCGGACTCTGGCCCGTCCCTTCCACTCTGCAGGTGTTCAATGAAAGGCTGCGCCTTTGGCAGAGCTTTGTCACTGAGGGGACTTTCCCCAGAGTTCAAGTCGGAGATGGAGAGACTCGTGGGCGCTCCTAACCGGAGAGCAACAGCCTGGCTCGGGGAGAGGACGAAGCGCGCAAGGCACTCGGCCCCGAGGGAAACAACGCCCGCGCGGCGGCGGTTTGCTGGAGGCCGGCACCCTGGCACCGCGGAGATCCGTCCGGCCTAAAGAGCGCGGCGGTGGGGGACCACTGAGGTCAAGGCGCTGTCGGGAGAGCCCAGAGGCCGGTTTTGACAAGTGCCCAGAGCGTCGGAACCAGCACCGAGGCCTGGCCTGCAGGGAGCGAGGCGCTCCCGTGGGTGGAAGGGGCGCGCACCGCCCAAGTGGCGTCCACCAGCCCGGCGTCCCACCGAGTCAGAGTCGGGCCCACCCGAAAGGGTTAAACGGGGTGCGGCGAGAAGAGGGTGGAGAACTTAGTTCAAAGCAAAAAAGGAAAAGAAAAATTGGCTCTGGCGAGTGCGGCTGGCCCCCACCTCCGCCGACCTTTCCGCAATCCAGTCCGGGCTTTGCGCCGAGCCCGCAGCCAGCGCAGCCCGGCCTCTGGCGAGAGCCAATCACAGGGCGCCTCTCAGCACGTGGAGGAGAGAGACTCCAGAGCTCCCCGCCCGCCGCTCACTACACTTGTTACCGCTTGTCCTGAGCGCCGAGAGGGCGAGCTCAGGCCGCGGCAGGGCGGGAGCCGGCAGCCAGCGTCCGGGAGAGGCAGAGAGGCATAGAGACCGCAATACTACCCATTAGAACCAGCCATTCCAACCACACCCCCAACACACCCCCATCCATCCCACCCGCCAGGAGAGGCAGCCAGCGGCCCGCTCTGCACCCAGGGAAAAAAAACCCCAGCCATGAGCAATCAGTACCAGGAGGAGGGCTGCTCCGAGAGGCCCGAGTGTAAAAGTAAATCTCCAACTTTGCTCTCCTCCTACTGCATCGACAGCATCCTGGGCCGGAGGAGCCCGTGCAAAATGCGGCTGCTGGGAGCTGCGCAGAGCTTGCCCGCCCCGCTGGCCAGCCGCGCCGACCAGGAAAAGGCTGTGCAAGGTAAGGGCGCGCCCGCCAGGCACCTGCAAAAGGCATCGGGTCCTGGTTTGGATGTTTGATGTTCAGGGCCAGGGGCCTGGGGTTGTCAAGCTGGCGATGGAGGAAGGAGAGGGAACAACTCTGCGGCCTGGAACATCAAAGAGCGGTAAACCTGTCGCCAGAGGCTGTCTCTTTCTCTGCTTCCAGAAAAAGGCAGAGCCAGGCTTCGCTTCGGGCCGTAGGTTCTCAGTGTTGGTCTACAGGTTATTTAAACGTCCCCCTTTGGTGGCCTTGGGTGTGCTCTAAAGAGGGGGACAAGTCAGAAACAGCAGGGGTCGGTGGTACCCTGGAATAGCAACTTGACCAGAACCCTAAAAGCTGGTGCATGGGGGTTTCCAGCAGGGTGAGCCTTGGCCTTTCCTCTTTGGAAAATTTCTTTGCACGCGGTGTTTTGCCTTTTTTTAAAAAAAAAATTGTAGATTACAGGTGACATTTAAAACCCAAGCTTTGCAGACAACATCTCCCTGGAATTCCCCAAATGCTCCTTATTGTATCTGAAATGTATGAAATCTGCGGCTGCTGAGTGCTATTTTTTCCTCTGCTGCGTTATTTTTAAAAATAGAGTTGAAATGTTAAAGGTTTTCTTTTTTCTAAAATTATAAATTCCAGAAAAACTGTCATTTTGCCCCGAACCTATTACGCCCAAGTTTCGCCTTGAGCTGGCTGCAGAGGTGTCACAGTGAAAGAATTGTTGAATTCTTTCAAAATTCGAAAATCAGCGGTCCAGCCACCCCACCACTTAGCTGAGCACGGACAGCAGAGAAGGCAGAGAAGGGGCTGTTTGAAACTGACTTTTTCCTTTTCTTTTTTTTAGACTGCATTGGCACCTGTGCCAGCCACTTCCTCGAAGGGAAGGAGCGGCCTGTGCCTGTGACCACCCCCCACACCCAACACGCACACACTCACTCCCCTACCCAGGCCTTTCCAGACCCATTTCGCCCGGACGATTTTTCTTTGCCTTTCTGTGCAAGGAGCCTCCGCCCCGTCGAACTGCGGGCTGTTGGGCGCGGTTGACGCTGGGGGCCAAGGGGCCCCGCTACCGCCCGCAGGGGTCTCCCACAGGGCAGCGCCCCTCCAACTGCCTGGACCGCAAGGCAGAGCAGCTGGCAGGGGTCGTGCCCAAAGTTTCGGGGTGGTGATGATTTTTCTTTCAAGTTGTTGAAGGTTTTCAGATTCTGCCTTGTACCTTGCACGGACACGGGAAGGGCAGAAGGAGTGCGAAAGAGAGCGAGGGGAGAGAAAAGGGAAGGAAGGAGGAGGAGGAGGGTGGGCGCGCGTTACAGACACGGGGAGGGGAAGGCGGAGAAGGGAGAGAGCAAAGAAAGGGCGAGAAAGAGAAGGAAAGACGAGTGAAAGGGAGAGGGGAAAGAGGGAAAGAGGGAAGAGGGAAAGCGAGAGGGGAAAGAGAGAAGAGGCGGGGAGGGAGACTGAGAGAGACAG